GGCACTTGATACGGTGCCCCATAAGAAACAATTTGTTAAACTAGAGAAGATAAGGAAAGACAGAGGAGCTGTGAGGGACAGAGAGGTAGAATTGAGTCTGGAATGATGGCAACAGCAAGGTCACCTGTCCATCTAGCACAAGATCACTTGTAGCACTCCTCGCCAGCATTAACCTGAGACCCTGACGCTAATAGGAGCAGGTAGTGAGGAAGTGTCCTGATGATTCAACACTAGAAGGCATTGCTAGTACAAGGAAGGACCAGGATATCATAGAGCAAGCCTTATTTGACCTTGGCAGGAGTACCAGGAACAGAATGAATTTCAGTAGTACGACAGACAAGGTCATATGCTTGAGAACTAATATTGGAAATCCGTGAGCTGGGAACTCTGTAAGAGCTGGCAGAGAGCACAGCGAGCAGGACCAAAGGCAGCCCTTGTCTTCTGGGAACTGCTGGGTCCATTTTGAAAAATCTCAGTGAGGGTCCTCAGTTTAGGCTGTGTTTGCCCCCTGATGCCCAAAAAAAAAAAATGAGGGAACCTTTGCCTACCACAAGAAGATCTGAGATCCTTGCCGAAAGGCAGCCAGGCAGACTTGGTGGCTCCCAGCAGCTTACAATGTCCTGCTGTTCCCCACCCTGTTCATCACCAACCTTTGGCTCTCAGAAGTTCGTGTTCTGAGGCTCTGTCTTCCAAATTGAGGATTTAAAAAAAAAAATTAAAAAATCTCTTCAGGAAAGAGTTGGTAAATATGTCACGAGAAAGCTGAAAGGAAAAATGCTGAGAACTTTATTAGCTGATGGTAGGATGATGGCAAGCAATAGTGTGACACAGTTATGGAAGAAGGAAAGGATATCCTAAAATGCACCTGGTGAGTTATTTCCAATAACTCAAGTAGTAGTGCTATTGCCCAAAGCCCTGTGAGACCTCTCTGGTTTGTTACAGTTTTGGCCAGAGGCGTATGGCCTCAGAGAGGTGCAGACAGAAGGAGAGGAAAGGGAAGCTTTGTGAGAGGAGCCTGTGACAGCCCGGCTTGCTTAACCAAGTGGAACCAGGGCTTCAGCAGACAGGCTTGCTGTAATAATGCATCCTGAAGGAAACATTTAAACTGAAGGGCACTGCTAGTATGAAAACAGTGTAGTATGGGGAGGCCTGTGAAAATATTTAGGGTGGAAAACTTGAGGAGGGTTTCTAGCCATTAGGGTTACTGAGCTTCAGAAAAACTCTCCAGGCAGAATCTGAGGTAAAAAGCCACATGGGTTCAATGTGAAGCTTGGAAAGTGTGTAAGAGGGTGATGGTGCTTATAATGGAGAGGTGAGACTGCGTTAGCTTGCAGCCCCTCCTCTGTCACTGAAGACCAGCTTAAGTCCTTGGTCTCACCATTCAGCAACACGGACCCATGTAAGCACGTAAGCCACAGAGCAGTCGTTCAGGGTACTCCCCATTCACCACAGCCCTCCCTTTGGGTGCCAGGCTGGGCCTTTTTGCCATATAATTCACATATTCCATGATTTTGGTCATGATGGAATAAAAATAACTCCTGCTGATGCAGCTGGAGGCCTCAGCGCCAGGCAGGCCGCAGGTTGGCCGGGGATGACCTAAAACCCTCCCGCAGCCTCTGGCAGCGTGATGGTTTCCCCTGATTGATTCGGGTTTTGCAGGGTAAAGAAGAGGGAGTGAGAAGCCCCAGCTTATGATAACAAGCCTTTAAAAAGCAGATGGGGACGTGGGGGCTGGTGTGCGTGTGTGGCAGCTGAGAAGTGACAGTAGAGGAGATCAGAGAAGGGCGAATCTGAAAAGCAGCTGGTCAGAGGCAGCCGCTGAGCGGGGATGATCAGTCACAGGAGAGGGAAAACCAGCGGGAGGGAGGAGGGGGAACCGGGGGATCAAAGACATTTATGGCTGGGGGAGAGAGCTGAAAGGTACCATGTGAGACCAGGAGTGAATGAGAAAGCGGGGACTGCTGGAGGGGGACCATCGGTTTAGATAAAACGCTAGGTCTTCCTCTTGCCAAGAATCGTAGAAATCTGGAGAGATTTGTGAATCTATACTACAATAAAGGGGGTTATGAGTGGGATCAGAACCAGTTTACAATTAACCAGCTCCATCAAAACGACTGCCAGGGTTTTGCAGTAGCTTTTCCTTCTGCTGGCATCTTCAAAGTAGGAACAATGCTCACACCGCCTGGCAAGTGTGTTGTGAGACACGGCTGGTGGGTAGGTGTAGGGAAAGGTGGTATTTACTATTGGGTGGCAATAGCTACATATTACCTACAAGACAGGTCACAGAGTTTGATGGGTGAGGAGCGTACTTTTAAAAGGAGGAAAAACTGGAAGCAGTGCAGCACAGGGCTACGTTATTATTCCAGAGCTGAGGAAGTGCTTTATAGTGAAAATGAACTGAATGAAAATCTGCTTATCCTACCAAAAAGAAGATTGGAAGGTGATGTGATTAGTGTATAAGGTACCTTCACAGGGAGAGGTGCTGGTTACTAAACATATGTTTTCTAATCTACCAGAGAGAAGCATCACAAAAACCTGTGACAGGAAACTGAAACCAAGCAGGTTCAATGAGATATTCAGCAAGAGTGCTAACAGTGAGCATGAGTAGTTACTGTAGTCAGGTACCAAAGGAAGAGAGTTTTATTTTTCATCTCTTGCATGTTTTCAAATCAAATGTAGATGCCTTTCTGGAAAATTCGACTCAGCTGCATGTAAACACACCCTGTTGGACTTTCTACAGGATAACTTCTCTGTTTTCTGTTTCATAAGCTAAACAGATTGAGCTCTTTAAGCCTTTCGCAGCAAGGCATTTTCTGCCACCCTCAAATAACGTTTGTGGTTCTTTTCTGCACACTTTCCCAGTAGTGTGCAATACACAGAAGGTCAGACTGGATGATCTAAAGTCCCTTCTGGCCTTTATACTCTCTGAATCTCTGCCTCTGTGAATTCATTAATGTTTGCAAGCTCCCAGAGAGCTGCCAAAGGCAAGCACTATAGAAATGCAAAGCATTGTTGTTACTCTGGATATTTCCCTTGAGCTTTATGCAGAGCTGGGTGAATATCTCGGTGTAGCGTCTGTGCATTTTTTCTCAAATGAAATACCTACATTTGTCGCTCTTCCTGTGCCCTTTACGTGTTGACTCTCTGCAGATGTTCTAGCAAACAAGTTTATTCCCAAGTTAGAGCACAGAAAAAGCAAATGTTGAAGGGCTAGATCTCGACCTAGCGCCCCGAGCAAGGAGTTGCACGTTGTCCTGGCTCAGAAGCTCCGTGCAAGACAGGTTGTTATTCTTAGCATCGCTCTTTGCTTTCTCCTTGGCTCCAGGTGCCCTGCAAGTTGGTTTCTGCCTGGCAGCAGCACTGTGCCACTGTAGGAAGGAGAGGTCTATCGCTTTCTTTCCTTCTCTCCCACCTTCTAACGGGAGAAAAGCCTGTGAGGATGCTGCCTTGTCCCTGCCTTCCTAGGGCTGCTACTGTTGTGGGAAGCTCCCCAAAAATGACACAGGATATTTTTTATTTACTTCAGCTGTGTTCTGTAACTCTAATCATCAGGGAATGCTTATCCTTTGTCTGCATTACACACAGTGCTCTCCAAGGGAAAGCTTTGCGGTCTTCAGAAATCCCATGCCAAGACTTGCCCTTATCTAATCAGTGGAATAGCAACTGACCCTCTGACCTGTGCTCCCAATCAGTGCTAGCAAGCGCTGTGCGAGCCTCCAGATCAAGCTGCCAATGATCAAGATGCCGAGGAGGAATTCCTATTTTATATATTTCCCATGTATTTTATACATGCATATACCTAATTGCATGTTTATCTACATGAAATTATATGTGTGTGTGAGTAGATATGTATAGGGGGCAAATACACTTGCCAAATGAAAGATAATCAAATTGCAGAAAATCATAGGCTGCTCCCGGATGATCTGTGAACCAGAAAAGCCTGGAGTCATCAGATGAGTATGTTGGCTTTGCCTTTTCAGCTCTACATTTCTGGCGTTGTAGGAGCTGCTTCGTGGTATCTGTGTGCGCTCCTGTACCTGCACAGTAAAATTAGATTAAACTATGCGTCATAGACCCCGTACTGTTAAGCAGCAGCGGTGATCCTCTCACGGCACATACCTCCTCAGCAGGAGGGATGCCTCAGCTGCTACCAGATGAGGAGTACCTGGGTTCTGCTCCCAGTTTCTCTCTGAAGATCAGCCTGAGTATGGTGGCACACGTGCCTCAGGACGAGGTTTTTCGCAGGAGTAGTGTGTGATGGATTGTGTGTGGATAACTCCGGGAGTGGACGAGGAGGGAATTTAAACATCTTAGCTGCGTGTGATAAACCTAGCTAGTGAACAGCTGGTGGAGAGACTCATTTAGCTCTAGGGGTGACAGCTTGTGTATTTGGGGGTGCAATGGGATTAGACAGAGATTTCCACTCATTTTAAAATAACCTTGCTCAGGAGGGTAAGAAATCTGGAGAGGTGGGAACCCATCGCTCACTATTTGTTACAGCAGGTTTTATTGAACATTACGCTCTAATTAAAAAAATAATAATAAAAAAAGCTTTTGGAATCAAATTTGACCTGAATATAACGCCATTGGCTTCCGCATTCTTACACTGGGGATTAATTTGGCCCTTTCTACTTTTATGTAATGAGCTGATTGCCACAGTATCTTATCCTTGTTACACAATCGCCCTTGCCTGCCTGTGTCCCTGGAGCCCTGCCTGTGTGTTTCTAGATCCAGGGTCTCACCTTGACTGCCTGCATATTTAGTCCTCCAGCCTCACCCTGACTGCGGGCAGATGCTTGCCTGGCACTGAAGCACACATGCAAATGCTGTCAGTGTTATCTGCATGTTCACTCCACTGTTCAGGCACCATGCACAGGCAAGCATGGGGGGAAATTCAGCGTTTTTTCATTTAGCTGGCTGTATCCCTGCGGTGTTTGCTTGAGCAGGGAGCAGGGGAGAGGGAAAGCAGCTCGCAGAGATCTCATTTAAACAAGAAGGAGCATAGGAAAATACATTCTTTATTATTCTTCTGTAACAACAAGCCAGAAATATAATATACCTTTAAAAATGATCTGTCTCATGCCAAAGAAACCTCCATTCAGTCGTTTTAGAAAATCTTGTTGCTCTTCCTCAAACAGTAACAAAAAGAAAAAGGAATTACACGTGCCATCTGTTCCCTGCAGGAAATGTGCCTGCCTGTACCACAGGTGGGTGTGTGGGGCCAGGGGGTGGCGGGGAGCAGAAGGGGTGTTTCTGGTGGGCTTGCCAGCCCCTAAGGGACACACGGCCCCGGCCTGTTGGTTGGATCTGCCTGCTCCACAAGACCTTTTCCTGAGGGCTGGTACATCCTCTTGGCATCGGTGGCCCTGCCTGGGGCAAAGGGTGGCTTTACTGGGGGTTGCCCCATGCTTAGCCGTGCCTGCAGGGGCACTGGGAGCCCCTGCTTCCCAGGGGTGCTAGGAAAGAGATTAAGAGCCTGTTTGCCAGCAGTGGTACAAAGAGGGCATTTCCCAGGGAACCCCATTACTCTGCTCTGCGTGGAAGAGGACAGCTCCTTGTCCTTCCACTTGCTTTGCAGCGGGACTCCCCGTAGCATCCAGCCTTCGTGTTTCTCAGCAACTCTTTTCTCCCCTTCCCTGTCTTCTTCGTTCCTGGGTGGGTTTCTAAACATAGCAGTCCCTCGCCTAGGGTTGAGATGAATCCAGGCTTTCTGCCTTCGAAATGAAAACAAATAGGAAAGGATGGGCGAGGTCGTCGTCAGCCCCACAACACAAGATATAGAAAATATTATTAGCAACAAAGAAAAATTGGTCGGGACAGGAGGTGGTCACAGGGAAGGTGCAGAGTCAGGAGGATTTCCCCCTTCCCCAGCCCCTGCACTGTCCCCTGCCTCCCTCCTACTCATGTCACCTCTAGTCTATCTCCTTAAAAACAATCTCTCTCACTCTCTCTCTTGCTCACTCACACACACACACACACACACACACATAGATCCCATTGGTTTTGTGCAATGTTTCACCATTATTTGATGCAAGTAAAATATAGATCTATAAATATACCGCTCTGACTCAAGTCCCGTTTCAAGTATGATTGCGGAGTCCAGGATGGTAAAGGGAGAAGTTCCCCTGAGAGGGAGGCGGTGGGGGGATTTGGATCCAGCAGGCAGTCTAGTCCCAGCTTGCTGGGAATGTGGAGCAGCAGTAACACACATAAGGAGGCTGCAGTGCACCAGTTCTGCCCTTCAGAGCGGGCTGGGGCTGCAGCAGATGGGATGGTTTGAGTGCCTGTACAGTGCATGGGGGAAGAGTCCTTCCTCCTCACATCTCGCCAGCCCCCCTCCTCCTCCTCCTCCTCCTCCTCCTCTTCCCCATGAGCGGTGTGCTGGGAGAGGGGGGTGCGCTGTGTGCAAGTGCTCGTGGGTGGACTGCTTCTCCCAGGCCTTCTTCCAGGGCAGCCTGAGCTTCTGCTTCCTGCAGAGCATCCTCCTCTGTCCCGTGCAGCCCCGTGTCAAAGGGAAGTCATGCCAAAACAGTCCAGAGCATCCCGTCTCTTTGCCTCTGCTGGCCCTGGGTAGGCCAGGAGGGATTTTGCCAGGCTTTGATTAAAGGCTTGGCACAGCGTGCCCGTGGGTCAGCACAACAACCTGTCCGGGACCAGAAGGGGTGAGGAGCCGGCGGGTATCACTCCCACAGGGGTCCAGCAGCAGCGAGCAGGGGGGCCGGGAGGTGTCCGAAGGCTTGGGGATCCAGCTGGAGCAGGAGGAAGAGCTGACGTGCCCTGGCAGGGCCCACCTGCAGTGCCTGCTGCCCTCTGAGCACAGGTGCCTCACAAAAGCCCCCTGCCAAGCTGGGCTCGCTGCCAGCCTGGTTCCTGACGGCGAGCATCACACCATCCCCAGGCACTGCGGATGCACGACCTCCGGTGTCATCTTCCTCGCCCAGGAATACCCACTGTGACGGGTTAGAGCAGGTTACCATGGCAATGTGCGCTCTCCCCTGGAGACAGCATTTTATCCCACTTCCAGTGCTACAAAACGAGTCCTTATGTTGGGTTCCTTTCATTTTTTCCCCCTCTCACTTCTTTATTATTATTTTTTTTTCCCCTTTCCTGTCAGGCTGAAAAGAGCTGAGACTAATAGGAGGCACTGCAGTCTGCGGGCTTTTAAGATCTGGGTTGGGGAAAGTCACCCTGCACGCACAGGCGTGTGCACGGGCACGCTCGTGCAGATGTGGGTGGCAGGTGAGCATGGCAGTGGTGAGGTGAGCGTCTGGGGGCTGTGTTGTGTGCCACCTCAGCCCCATCGTGGGCTCTCTCACCGGTGCCACGCTGTGGTCCAGGTTTCAGCCTTCACTTCAGGACCCTACAGAAGTCACCCCAATGAAGTCACCAGCAATGCTGGCTCTCAGGCTGCGTTTCTTCTTCTCCTGCCACCTCCCCCTGCGCCCACACGACCCCAGCACTCTCAGTGAGCCACGTTCTCCTCTGTGTCTTTCCTGATGGCCTACATCTGCTGTGCCTATCAAACGTTTCCGAATGGAGGCTTCCTATCTTTACCTTCTCTTTTTATCGCAGAAAACATACAAAAGATAACAAAAATGCCGTTTTTTTTCATGCTGTGTAGTCATTTCCACTGACTCATGCTCTGACCTTAATAACTCTGCCTCTCCCTGTCCTCTCCTGCCCGTTTCCACTGGCTCTGCACTATGGTGAGATGTTTTGTGGTAGCTCCTCAGTGGCAGAGTTCATGGGTTTCATCCAAAGCAGAAGGTCCTGCGCAGCGTTATGCTAAGAGTAAGGTACAGTGGCTAAATGTGTTCGTGGCTGCATGCACGGGGCAGATCAGCGTGTGCACATGTGGCTCTGCACGCACAGATGAGGTGGAGCTGAGGCTGTGCGTGTGCATTAGGATCAGAACGAGTCAGGAAGCGTGTACAGGAGGCTGGCTCTGTGTCCCTGCACCTGGAATGGATGATGTGGCCGCTGGCAGATTTGGAGTTGGCCAGGAGCAACAAGAGGGACACTGTGCTCTCCGGCAGCATGTTAGTGGTATCTCCACCTTTAAAAGAGCCAAGGACAATCTCCCTCTGCCTGTTATCACCCCCAAGGGACCTTCCCTCCCTTCTGATGCTCTCTTAGCCGTACTGTGGGCAGCAAGTTACCATCACACAGCAGCAGTTACCCTAAACGATGAGGCACGGACACTTTGGGTGTCCTGCTCCTCACGCAAGCTTTCACAGAGTTGCTCCCTCTGTTTGCAGCCAGCTCTTGACAGGATAGAGGACAGCTCACGACTGAAGCTGAGAGGATGACACAGGTTCCCAGGAGGTGCCAGCTGCCTCCACAGCAGGCATGTGAGGGAAGCTCTGTGCGAGAGCATGAGGCACAGCAAGCACTCGAGGTCTGACTCTACTTTATTTGTCTGGGCCCAAGGGTGAAAGGGCACAAAATGGGCCTGGGGCAGAGGAACAGAGATTAGAGTCAGGTGCCCTGACCCCCCAGAAGCATGTTGCACTGCTTGGGTGAGTGGAGCAATAGCACAGTCTGTCTTTTTGTCTGGGAAGATGTATTTTGGGAGGACCCCATGCTCGACTGCTCTCCGGTACCTTTGTTCATCGCTGTCCCTTCCTTCCTAGAAGAGTTTCACGCCACGGAAGAGATTTGTTTTTGCTCTTCGTGTTCCCCCTCTGTGTCGCCCATCAGCGGCTGCCTCTTCTTCAGCTCCCGGTGATACTTGGCCATGAGGGAGGCGTAGATGCAGCCGTAAGCAGCTGCCACCACCATCATGATGCAAACAATGCCGCAAACCACCCCAGCGATGATCACAGTGCCAATAGCCCGGCGCACGCTCACAGGCCTGTACCGCTGCTTCTGAGGGCACCCCACGCTGGGCTCCACCTCTGCTTCTGGGCCCGATTTCGATTTGGAAGGAGTCGGGCTGCCTTTTGTGCAGGGTGGGCCAGTATTGTCCAGCACGGTAGAGCTGTTCTCGTCATCCAGCTGTGAGCAGTAGTTAAACATCTCCATGGGCACCATTCGCATATCCTTCCCTTTCAGCTCCTTGGGCAGGGTACATGCCAGCTGGTCGATTTTCCCACCTGTCCCAACAGAGAGAACAGGAGTGAACCAAGCTTCATCCTGATGCAGTAAAGCATTTAAAAACAACAAACAGAGCTAGAGCCTCAGGTGAGATAAGTTCCTCTGACTCCATTCGCACCTGGCCAGGATTTGCCTGACAGGCACAGCAGCATTGCAATTTTCAAGTGGGGAACTGCTTTGTTACAGCCTTGGAGCCATAAATCCAGTGCCTGATGTGTGAATGCATCACAAAAAGAGTAGTCAAAGAGCTCCTCCCTACCCCAAAAGGCAGCCATGACCTAGCACGGGATGTTTCTAGAGTTCAGGGCTAAGGCTGAAGTCAAGAAGTGCTGCAGACCTCCGTGTGTTGCCAGGTCCACAGTGCTTGTGAAAGGTGGAGGGAGGGAGGAATGGCTGCACCTCCATGCACCAGACAGAAAGAGCACATGAGGTATCCTTTAAAATGATTGTTTTGCCTGATTTAGAGATGTTTTGCATGCCTTAGTCCTCCATTGCTGGAATGGCTTGAACCATGGCAGCTTTCCGGGATGCTTCTACCTAGGTGGGACTTGAGAGTACGGCTCATGGCTCACGATACCTGTGTAGACATCTTCCAGGCCAAGACATGAAAGCTCTCTGAAACCATCTATTAAGTCAGCCTAGTGCTGTTTGCTGAATTACATAAGTGTCAGCAGAATCATTTTAGAAAAGGAGAAATTAAAGCAAAAAGGTAGGACCGAGCTCCGTCTTCTCAAAATAACAGCGGACACACAGCACCATCTTCTAACAACTAACCCACCCTCCCCCAGTGGAAACAGTGACAGATGTTGAAACAAATGCTTGGGTGAGTTTGGGCAATTTCTTTTGAAAGGGAAAAAAAAAATTAACTCTATGTTTTTTATGGGTTGTGTGATATGAGAGTCAAAAAAGAAAAAGAAGAGGAAAGTGGCACTCGTATCCTTGTTTGCTTCTGCTCTCACACGTGCATATTTCAGACTGCAGCCTAGCCATAGGCGCAGATAATCTCTTTTCAGCATGGCTGTGATCAGCAGGGATGTGACAGCTGACTGCTGCCCTCCACATGATTTGAGACCCTTCCCTACTCATGGGTGCAGTGACAGACGGTCAGGCCTTCGATCGCCATTCCTGCAAACTGTGCCGCTTTGCTTTGAGTCACGGCTCCTGAAACCGTGTCAGTCCGTCAGGATTCCTGATGGTGGGTACCCTCCTAGCCTTCAGGGGAAAGCTGGAAACACAAACCTGTCCAAATATGCTTGTTTTAAGGATTTTACAGCCAGTCTGCTAGGATCTGCAGTTCAGGTCAGCCTGATCTGCCGGCCCATGCTTCTTCCCTTCCCGCCAGCAGCTCCCGCTGCGCGAGCACCTACCTCGGTAGGAGAACCACTCCATCCAGTGCTTGAAGTCTCGCAGGTTGCAGTCGCACTCCCAGGGGTTGTCCCCGACTTGGAGCTGCTGCAGGCTGGTCAGCGGCTCGAAGGTCACCCTGTCCAGGCTCTGCAGGCGGTTGGACCTGAGGGAGAGGGAGCGGAGAGCGGGCAGCTCGTCGAAGAGGCCTGAGGGTATCTGGGCCAGGCCATTGATGGAGAGATCCAGCTGGCGCAGCAGGGCCGTGTGCTGGAGCAGGTCCTTGTCCAAGGCCCGGATGCTGTTGTTCCTCAGCTGCAGCTCCGTCAGGTTCCCCAGGTCGCTGAAGATGTTCTGAGGGAGCTGGTCCAAGAAGTTGTTGGATAGGTCCAGCCTCTGCAGGGCAGAGAGGTTGGAAAACACCGGGCCCGGCAGGATGCTGAGTTTGTTGTTGAGAAAGAGGAAGGTCCTGGTGTTCGTGGGGATGTCTGAGGGGATGGAGGAGAGGCCCAAGCCGCTACAGTCCACTTCCAGGTTGCCACTGTTGCACTTGCAGGAGGAAGGGCAGGCAAAGAAGGACTCTGCAGCACACAGCGACAGCCAGCAGCCGAGCACTGCTGGGTGAAAAGCAGGGGAGAGGAGAGAGAGCGCACGTGTTAGAGCACTGCTTCCCCATCCTCACCCATCACCTCTCTGCACACAGCTGGGGCTACAGCACCACCCCCACAGCAGGACTCCTCGCCACAGTGCCCCGAGGGAAATAAGCTTCCTCACGGACAGATCTTTTATGGCTGGCCTGCACCCCGGCAGCACGAGTTTCCTGCGAGCCTTTTTTTTATGAGCAAGTAAATAAATATCCTCCTAGTTTCACACAGAGGTAAGGACAGCGCATCCCAGATGACTTTGCTGCCAGAGGTGGAGCGCTGGATCCTGTCAGGAGAGGATGGAGCAGAGAGCAGTGGGAGATGTCACCTCTGATAAAGGACAGCTACTTCTAAAAAGTCGGAGTCGAGAGACAAGTCACTAGGATGTGTTTAAGAAGCTCTATTTTTTTGAGGAATAAACATGAATGAAAAACTTTTAAGAAAAATCAAAATTAAGCAACCAACACCTCAGTTTTAATCCTGTGGTTTGGATCACAATCTTTGTGATGGCAAGCTCAAGTCTAAGTTAGCCGCTAAATCATTTGCTCTTCATATCCACAACATCTTATGTGGGTCTTGTGGCAAAAGACTTTTATATGAATTAGATTACATTACAAAGGTACGACCAGGAAAGCTATTAGGAAGTAACCATGAGACCCTAAGCCACCAAACACTTTGTACTTGCCATTGCTCTCAAAGTAGTTTCTGAGTCCCACAGCAGGAGCCCCACAAGCATCTCCCCTGCCCAAAATTACCCATAGCGAGGGAGAAATGATGAAAACATTGCAGGCTGGTAGTTGAGGAAAGGGGTGTTTGGAAAGGGGTTAGCATGCGTCCTCTTTCTCCTACAGTGCCTCAAACGTAAGGTTGGAACTTCACAAGACAGCAGTTTTTGGATCACCGTTCCAGACATGGGTTCGGGTCTCGTGAGTAGTGTCAGGGCTCTAATTGTCGACCCTCCTTGGGAGCCAGCAGCTTTTAAAACTTCCCTTTCTGTGACAAGGAAGCATCAGCAAGAAGAAAGCAAGCTCTGTGCCTCCTGTCATTAGAGGAGTGGGAGTTCTGTTGAAGCAGACGATGTAAAACATTTGCATCCTTCATCCTAATTCCTTTTGTGGAATTGAGATTAATTGCTTCCATGTGGGAAGCAAATTCAGCTCCCTTGTGCTTTTGAAGATGACGAGTTTGAATACTTGACTAAAACTGAAGTAGGCTTGTCTCTGCTTCACGCCCCATCACTCCTCTTCAGAGAAGGCAGGCACTTGGTCTTGGTAATCTTTAGGGGAGAATGGTGGCTAAAATGAATGCATTTATTGTCTTGCTGTTCTTTCTTGGACTGGAAACTAGATTCCTCTGCCCTGCCTGCATTCCTGCCTTTTTTTCCCCAAGAACCAGCAAACAGGTGTGCCATTTCTTGACCCAAGGAGAATTCTGAAAAGACTTGTAGGAGAGAGAGCTGCTGGAGACCTGTGCTGTGGAGAAGCTCTGCAGTTAGTCGTGGTTCTTCTCTCTTCCCTCGTGCCACTGTCTCTGGAGTTGAGTCTGCCTCAAGTCCTGTCATCCCGTGTCGGTTCCTTTTGTGTTCCCAGTGATCCTTGTGAGAATTGGCAGATTTTTGGACTGGTAGCCTAAGGAGAACTACACGGTTTGGATCCTAAGCTATGTGACTTTATTAAGGGCCAAGGCAGAAGTGTTCAGAAAGAATGTCTCTGCTTTTTTTTTCTCTTTTCATCCATCTTTCACAGTTCCTTCAAGAGTTTTTTTCTGCCCTACAATTGAGATCTCAGGTGTACATCAGCCCAGGCCACGCCAATCTGCTCTTTTAATGATAATTATAGATCTTTATAGTGCAATATAAGAGAGATCCCCATCCTGGGCACCTCTGTGCTTTCTTGTCATGCAGAGGTTGGGGTTAGCAGCAAAGATTGCCATGAAAGCAGCTGATAGCCTGTGCAGTGCAGGTACTGGCTGGCTGGGCGATATTTCATCCCATTCAGCACACAGCGCTCTCTTGTTGCAGGAAAAGAATGAAAAGAATGAGAGCTGGAGTGGGGAGGGGAGGGAAAGACATGAGTCACTCGAGTGACCCCATCTTTTCCTGGATGCTTAACAAAAGTACAGCATTAATAATAGATTGACAGCTGCGATGGTGAGATAACACCGAGCTTCTTTGTATACTGAGAGAGGCAAGGGCAGGCTGTGTAAGGCGATCCAGGTGGCATTCTGTTCGGGGCTTATCTCTCAAAATACCTGCCTGCCACCGGCCCCCGGCTGCGTGGCTGCGGGGTGCCACCAGTGGTGGTCAGGAACAAAGTCTCAGGCATCTGGCTGTGGTTATCTTCAGGAACTGGACTTAGGCCAAGTTTCTGCAGCCATCGAGGATGTGCCAAAAACATCTCGTTACCCATATACTGCGCTGTGCTCTTGAAAACATTGTGCTGAAATCACAGAGGGGGGAAAGTTTGATTTTGTTCTAGGTCCCTGTGAGAGATGCATCCTCTAGAACGTGAGCTGAGGCCAAGAAATTCATCGCACCGGTGAGGATTCAGCTTTCCAAGGGAGATTTGGAAGCAATAGGCAGAACTTGAAGCTCTCTTCCAGCCCTGCAGAAGGATGAGTAGCGTCTGTTTTTGTGTTAGGAGAAGATGAAGTTACTTTGTGTGGTGTTTGGTGACTCTGGTAGGTGGCAGAAAGCTGATCCAGGAATATCAGATTAAGGCAGGACTCAGTAGCATTCGCTGTAAATAATTCATACAGCAGCCCAGGCTGTGAGGATGGATTACAGCAATGCCTGTTTTCTGGAGAAGGAAATAATTCCCCCGGCTTCTTACAGCGGCAGCCCCAAATTTGATGGGATTGCAGGAAAAGGAGAAACCACAGGCCTGCCCAGCTGCCTGGGCATGCAGTAGTGATGTGCACTCTCCAAATGCTCCCTCTCCTCTGTGGTAGTCCCCAGGTGCTTCCCAGAAGCTCGGTACATCCCCTGAAGGCCCTCATCACCCCAGCAGTTCTGCTCTGCGCTCAGGAATGCTGTAGCAGATGCCCCGGTCCACTGGGAAGCTGCAGAGGCCGAGGGTTTACCATTTAATTTGAAGCGTCTCTTCTTAATTTGCTCTTTGATTTTCACGACAAGTGGCAGCGCCTAGTAGGAGAATTCCGCATTTGCATCCCGTATTTGCCTTCTGAAATCTGGCATGACTTCTCCTGCCACGGAGAGCTGGGAGCCTGGCTCAGCAGCCTACGTGCACAGCCCCAGCACGGAGAGGAGGCTGCAGCTCACACGATGCCGATCCGCGAAGCGCTCGGGGTAGATCCGTGTGCGGTGGTATCTGTCTCACTGTTTCTCACCTGTCAGGCCCACTGGAATTCAGCAGCAATCATCACTCACTGTCCCACTTTAAGCCCATCTTCAGCTTTAAAGCCTCGCTCTCCCTCCCAGCTAGCCTGGCCTCTAAAGGAATCAGGAATTAGTTCAAACATCTCCATTCTTAGCTGTCCCTCTCCCCTGTTCTTAACCCTGGCGCGACCTATTTTCTCTCCACTCCCCTGACAAAGAGGATCGTCGCACTGAGCACCCCGGTAGACGTTACTTACGGCAAGCCTCCTGCCACCTCATGAGGAACCTGCTCCTCCACCGCTGGCCGGCACTCGCAGGCAGCATGGTTGTCTTCTCCAGCGTGGCTTCACATCCACCAGCCAGCCTGGCGCACGGCCCCACGGAGCGGAGGAGTCGACCTCGTAGCCTGCCTGCCTGCTCCTGGAGGGGAGAGCAGAGCAGAAGGGGTGGGATTCAGCTCCCTGCCCACAGGATCCAGGGCTGGACTCGGCGCTCTCCTTTCCCCTCCCCAGCTAGCTTTGCCTTTGAGGCCTAACCCCACTTTGGGAGCAGAGCTGGGGGATGAGGAGGCGCAGCACGATGAAGGCACAACACGAATTCACTTTTACCCTCACGGCACAGACGTGAGGCCTCATTCTCATCCGTGAAGAGACAAGCCTGTGCTTGAGCAGCCTCTGCCAGCCTGATGCTCAAGGTCAGCCTGATGAACGGCTGAGGGGACCCTGCTCGCTGCCACCTGTGCACCCCGTGCCCTGACACACGCTCGGGCTCACAAGGTTTGGTCGCCAGGTGGCTGCCAAGCCACTTCTCCCCCTCCCTCCTCCCCAGCATCTCCCACCAGCGCTTCCTCTCTCTTTCAAGGTAAAATGGATGTGGTGCCTAGAGCGGGGCTGAGCAGAGCACAGCTTCAGCTGGGGGATCTCATGCTGCAGCAACCGCGGGAGCTGAGGAGCGAGCGAGCCTCCGAGGAGAAGGGAGGACCTGGGGCGGGGGAGACTGAGTGGGAGTGTTGAGAAGAGAGGAATCACAGCTTAATTAGAAGAAGGAAAAATGCTCAGTCTAATTAGAAACCCAAAGACCATAAACTCTCCCCTGACAATAAGTGACTGACAACAGGTCCCTCCTACCCTCCTGCTTCCCTTTTGGATAGAGGCGGGCAGGAAAAGGGGAAACACCACAGACCCTGCTGACCCACGGGCACTCTGCCATGCCACCCACCCTTGCAGCAGCAGCTGCATGGACACGTTTCAACCAGGGCACAGAGACAAACCATCCTCCATCCCCTCTGAGGGGCTCTGGCAGCATCCGTAGCCATTATTTCAGATGGGCACCGCACTCCCACCGGGATGCGCGCCCCACACACGTGCCAGCTGCTCCCCTCCCCCAGGCTCCTGTGACTGATTTATTTGGTAAACCACCAGGAGGTATTTAAATTAGCATCTCGGTGAGACAGATGAGCAGGTTCGGCGCCTGGACTAGGACATCTTGCCAGGCTGCTTAGATCCTTTACCCAAATGCCAGTGCACCAGACAGACGCATGCCTCTCGCGGCACCAAATCAATCCACCCCTCACCCACGGCAGCCCCCCGCTCCCCAAACTGAGCCGGGTGCCTTCCTGCAGCCCCTGCTGAAGGAGAAACCTCAACAAAAAGCTGTCCCCATCCAGTGCTTCTGCTCGCTTCCAGCCTCCCCCGTACCGATGGCTCTGCCCTGAACGCCACCCGAAGTCTCCTCTCTCCGGCTGCCGCTACCAACAAGGGCGAAGGGGAGCCGCGAGCACTTACCTGGAGGGGCTCTGCCCACTGCCACTTCCACCCGGCTCCCCGGGCAGCGCACGGTTACTGCCTCTTCCTCCCCTCTCCCTGCGTGACTTTGGCTGCCGGCAGCAGGCTTTCCGTGTGCTCTATTTAACTCCCTACAGCACAGGAATAAACGGCAGAGTTAAGCTGACAGCCACAGAGCCTTTATCTGGCGGCTGGAGCGCGGGACTCGCTCGCTTCCAAATCCTGCTGCCGAGCAAGCGCGTCCTGGCTTTCAGCATCAGGGGCTGCCTGCCACGCTCTGTCTTTCCCTCGTCCCCACCTTCGCTCCATCTAACTTTGTCTGGGTTATAGATAGCTCTGTTCCTCGCGCTCTTGCCTTTTGGCTCTGTTTTGTAACACCCCATCTGTATCAGCTGGCTGAGATCCAAGCAGGGGGGCTAAGCTTTTGAGAAAAAAAAATATATATATATATAAATATATAACAACAGCTTCCTTTGGGTGCTTCGTGACACCGCTTCCCTCTGCGAGCCCCCCTCACTCAGCCCAGGCCCCCGTTCGGTCCCGGGGCTGGCGTCTTCCCCCTGCTTGCTGCTGCTCTGCCACGCCAGCCCCGGGGGGACCGAGGGCAGCACCCGCGTACCCAGGCAGGAGGAGGGTGCTGAAGGAGTCCGGGCTCGTGCCCCTGCTCCCTTCTGCTCTGGCAGGCAGAGTCCAGCTCCTGCGCTCATCCCCGCTACCTTGCCTGCGCCTCTTCCTCCGAAGCAGGGCTCAAGCACCGCGTGCAGGGTGGGAGGAACAGCCGTGTATAAATAAGCCCTTTCCCTATGTTTAGAATTTGTTGCAGTGCATAGTGATTAACACCTGTTCAGGCTTTCGTGCCGGCTCCTGCGCTGCAACATGCACAAAGATGGAGGCGCCTCCATGAGCCCAGGATTATTTTAAAAGCCTGTCGCACAAACACAGCGCTCCCTGCCCCATAGATAGCATCCACGCCTTTGTGCACTCGAACACGTTGCTCAGGCTTAAAGGCAAGCAGCATCAGATGCATATGCAGAGAGAGTCGCTAATCTAGCTTACAGTCACAAACACGGCCGCAGAGTTGGGCTGGCGCACACACTTCAGACTTTTGTGACCCATATTTATGGAGATCCGTGTCTTGCACAGAACCGCCCGCTGCTCCAAGCACAGCATATGCTCAGGAGGCAGGGCACTAGCTCTGGAATAGGCAGAGGTTCCTGAACGCTGAATTGAAAGGGCCGGTGAGCTTCTGCACTTTTACCTTGAAATAGAAATGTTAATGCCAGGAGCCCAGTTTCTGTCAGGCAGGCGTTGCCCATAAGCATGTTGGACCTGTGCCCCTGGTGGTTAATATTCTGCAACCAGCAGAGTGAGGAGGCAGAGAGGATTCTTGATATATATATATATATTTTTATTATTATTATTATTTTTGTAAAGGTTTTCTCTGCTTTGTCTTGAATTCTGACTTGATGAGCTGTTGTCAGGTGGTCCAGGAGATGCCTTCTGGTCTGCAGAGCACCAGCCAGATGCAAGTGCAGCACTGGGAACCTCACAGTCCTTGGGCAGCCAGCACCTGCCCACGGCCCAAAGCTTTCCAGAGCATCACCAGAGCTGCCTGGCTGCTTTCAGCCTTACAGCCGGGGACATTGCCAGCAGTGGGGGGGCTCTGCCAGACCTAGGAGTGCCCCAGCCCAAGAGGAGAGGCCCCATGCCATCCGTTCTGCACTGGTGTGGGACTGATGCGTTTGGGAGCTTAATGCTGATCTACAGGGCTGAAGCTCCAAATGCTCTGAAGTCTCCCACGGCTCTACAAGCCCAGCGTTAATCTTTCTTCTGGGCTTACTGGGTGGTTTCTTCTCCCTGGAACAACTTCCCAGCTAAATGCCTTGTGATCCGTGGGACACAGAGTCCAGAGCTTTCTTCCACATGCTCGGAGTTGACTCTCTCTTCCCGATTCTGGAGAGACGAACAGAGTACCCCGCAGGGCTGGTGATGGCCTTTTCTTCTTGCCATTTGGTAAAGGAGAGTGAAACACAACTTTTTTTAGTCTCAGCTCAAAGCAGCAGAATGAAATCATCCATTTCTTGCCGTTGGCTCCAGTGGCCAAAAATACACTGAGCTGAAGTGCCGCTTGGACATTTGGCCTGCTGTCAGACTTCCAGAGGACGCTAACGAGGATTCCCCTAATTAGCTTAAGCAGGGAATTTTGCTGGGGGGGATGCTGGGGAGATTGTAAGGACTCTACAGCACTTGCCAGGGCATAGAGGGTACAGCAGGAGCTATCAGCATTGTGTTCATCCCTTCTCCCTGCCCAGACTCCAGGAATGTTTGCAGGATCACTTTGAAGCTTTAATATTTTGTAAGTAGGGTCCCAAGGAGCATGCTGTGAGGGTGGGGAGGGTTTCTGTTTCCTGCATCCACATCCTGCTTTAGTAACGCTTCCAAATTGGGCGACACCTTCCATCCAAAGCTTTCCATCTGCTTTACGAATGGCTTTTACCATGGCTGGACTGTCCCAGCGTGTCCCTGGGATGAGCCGCAGCCACAAGCAGGGCTCCGTCAGCAGCCAGCCGGCAACCTCTGGCCCTGATCCTCTCTCCCAGTCCTTTGCACTAACGCTTGGATCACGGCTAGGGGATCAGACTCTAACAGTCTGGCTGCCTAGCACCGGCAGGGCATGTGGGTGACCTATATTATGAAAGGGTAGGTAACAGGCTGCAACAGATGCCACTGATAAATTATGAGCGAGTACAAGCAGACGTTCATCCCTCCCCCATGGCTCTCCCTGAGGACTGCTGGTAAAGTCCCTTTCCAGTGCTGAACTGCTCTAGCCTTTATCGGAAAACCACCAGTGCAAGGGAGGGCATGGAGGACATTTAAAGATTATCCTTTTTTCCCCCCTTTTCTTGTTGCTTTTAGGGTTCCTGTTTTATTGCCGTCGCCCATAATGGAAGGGGACGGTGGTACCCCAGAGCCCAGTGCTTAAAGCATGTAGGTCTGTATCTGTTCTTCCATCAGTGCTCGGAGGGCAAGAGTCTGCACACAGAGGGCAGGGAGATTCACCAGCCACGTCATCTGATGACAGCAACTGGAAGTTGTAACTTGGCTGATGAATCCTAGCGGGGAGTTGTACTCTCCAGCAGTACCACATGAGGGTTTAGATGGCATGGACAAGGTGCCCATTCTTGGTCCCTCAACAGACCTAGGTCGGTCCAGCAAATTATTGACCATGAGAGCTCACCTTGAACCTCACTGTATCAGCAGCAGCTCCCCGTTTGTTGTTTATCTGGACTGCAAAAGGAGCACCCAGACGTGGCACCAGGCTCAGCAGCGCTGCAGAAACGCCCAGCGTGTGTCACTGCCCCAAGTGAGCCTGGAAGCTAAATAGCTGGGGGCTTCACTTCCAAGGCTTGCTGATTTATGAACACGTGTGTTCGGGATTTATTAGCGTTGTGCTGTCACAATCAATGGAAAGCACATTGTAAATTCGCACCAGAAACCCAGCTGCACAAGAAACGGTGCCATCTGACTTGCAGCGATCGATCACAGCAAAGCAAAACACCTCACACAGAAAGCTGTAAAGTAAGTACAAAGCATGCAAAACCCACTCAGCCTTGCAAGGGAAGCTGCCACATTCCTGACTCGGTGTGAATAAACCCCACCCTATTCCCTGGGATGTGAAGGGGTCGAAAAGCTTCTGATCTTTGAAATGACAATGTGTAGGCACCTCTGAAATGCAAATGCGGTTGGTGTTAAAAAAAAAAAAAACAACACTCCCTCCCCAAACGCTGCCAAGAAAGGTCAACTTCATCCCCATTTCATGTAGGGGTAAACTGTGCTAGAAGTAAAAATGACTGCTGAATTTGGCTGTCTGAAATATCAGCTGCCCAGCCCTTGATACTTCATCGTGGGCTCCCATCAGTTCCCAGCTCGAGATTTTCTGAGCTGCCAAGTGCGGTGCCTGCACGGAATCACATGAGCCTGAGAATGCTCTCCTATCCTGCAGGCAATGTGTAGGGCTTAGCAAAGCTACACAAAATAAAGGAGTTTTGACAGGGCTTCCCCAAAGCTGCCTGTCTGGGCTGCACCGAAATCGGGAGAGGAGCCAGGTGTCTTGATTCCTCACCCCATGCCTTAGCCTGGAAACATTATTTGCATCCCAAGTCTCCCTGGCCAATGTGCAATAACAAGGCAGGGAAAGGTCAGAGGGGCTGGAAATCCCAAGGGCTTCCATCCTCCTGGAAGCCTCTGAGCAAGCAGGGAGCATCCCAGGGGGTAGCACTGGTGGGAAAGACCCAGACTGCTGCGGAGAAGTGGGATTCCTTGGGAGGCTGTGCAAGCAGGTGGGGAGACCGGGAGATCCAAGGCGAGAGTGACAGGAAAGTCCCAGCACAGCGAGAGCGCGGCATATGGAGGAGGCCCGGAGCAGCAGCAGGAGGAGAGCTGAGGGGGCAGTTGAGAGGAAGAAATCCAGCCATGTGTGTGCCAGCATCTTCTGAGTACTGCTGAACGCGACAGACCACGTGCCCGCTTCCTTCAGCAACACGGAGGCAGATGAGAAGGGAAGCGGGAGTGGGAGGGGGGCTCAGAGGAGAGACACGTGAGCTGGCTGCCCAGTTTCCTCCTCTTTTTTTCTTTCTTTTTTTTCTTTCTTTTTTTCTTTCTTTTTTTTTTTTTTTTTTGCCACAGAGCCATGTTTTTGTTCTTCTCACGCTGTTGGCAGAAATTGATAACCAAGCGGGATGTGGAGGGGGGGGGTTCTGCATGAAGGCTGAGATAACATTTTCTGATCCAGCCGGGAACAGTTGGCTGTGGGTGGTGGCTTGTCACCAGCTCTGCCAGTTCTAATCCAGATCCCAGTTTTTCTCTGCGCTGCGAAGAGCCCTCTCTACAACTTTAATTTCCTACAGGGGTTAATCCCGTGGCCAGTGGTAGCTCAGACCCTTAATCCTTCCACACCGCCCTTGGCAGAAGGACTGCGGCCACTCCCGACTCAGCACATCGGAGGGAGGCACAGTTGGGCTCCCAGCCCCTCTCCTACACCCCACGAGCATCCCTCACCCCCCTGGCATTTAAAATGCCTCCCCCCCTTCCTGCCGAGCCTCCCCAGCAGCTGGGTGCTGGGTGGGTGGCGTGCCCCAGGGACAGGCTGTGGGAGAGGAGGCGGCTCGGTGGGAGAATCCCCGCTCGGTGCTGCTCATCTCCCTCCCCGCCCCACACGCAGATCCCTTTCACACTTCTTAGTTGGGTGGTGCTCAGGAACCAAAATTCATCTCTTTCTTGTGTGGATTTTTTTTTTTCCAGCTTGTGTTCAGGAAGGAGAGGATGGGCCCATGTTTGCCAAGGGCTCTCCGAGGGTTCAGAAATCTCGAGATGACCCAGAGCTCTCCTCAGATCTCTTGTTAGGGTCAAAGGGGGCTACAGATCCATAACAGGGAAGGTATCAGCCTGTCTGAGGTGAGAGATGCATTCACATGCTCTGAGTAGCAAATGGAGGTGCATCAATTTAACAGCCAGGTAGGAAAATACAAGTTTCATTACCAAGTAGCTCTCCATTCACAGCCGTGTCCTTGGAGACACAGGCATCTGTCCCCCAGTACAGCCAAAGTGCCAAGTCAGAGGTCTTCCAGATCAATGCCAAGACACCTGCTAAGTCTTATTTGGAGCAAAGTGCTCCAGACATCGGCCTTTCTCCTCGTGCTTCCCTGTTCCTACGGTCAGGTGAGGCTCTGCAAGCCACCGTGCATGCGAAGTGTCCCACGCCCATTGACCTGCTGCCATTCCTGTCTGCAGTCACTCAGGTGCTGCTTTTGCCTTTTTTCCTACACTCTGTGCCAAAATGTGTCAGGCCCCCAAGCACTGCCCTTCCTGGTGCTTGACTCTTGTTATTTTTCCCTCTGGGAGCTGAGATGGTGCCCAGTGGGGAAGCCAAGGTGGTGCAGGATTGCTGCCACCCCGGTGAGTTGAGCACCCACTGAGGGGCATCCCTGCAAAGTCCCTGCAATCTGCTCAGGATCCAGCGTGCTGCCCGCAGCTCCAGGGGTGCCCGAGGCTCGCTGGGACACGCTTAGGCTGTGCGCCAGCCGGGAACACTGCCCGCAGCTCGGCGAGATGTGGTGACAGCTCTCACAGCCCAGCCAGGATCCTCGGCCGCGGCTGGGCCAGCACACCCATCACAGCCCCGTGCTGCAGGGCCTGCTGAGCCTGGGCAATGTCTTCAGAGCAAGCGACGCTGTGATACTAGGGCCAGCAATGAAGATGTGGTAACAAACAAGGCTATTTTTGTATGGTCACCACAAGATACTGAACCCCAGCGCTGGCAGCTGGCCACGGTCTGCACATTCCTAATTTTGCGGGTGCCCAGCACGAGACCCTAGGGGCCATTTTGCAGAACTGCTGAGTGCTCACAGCTGCTTTCCAAAATGCTCGCAGCCCGGCCAGCAAACTGGTACTGGTCTGAAGGAATTAGTGGCGCTGAGAGCCAAGAGGCCCCGCGCTCGAGTCCTGCACCTGCTGCTCCTTCGCGGGCTGGCGAGGGGAGAAGCCTCTCTCCCCTTCCGCAGCGAGGCAAACAAGCCTCTTGCCTCAGCAGCAGCACAAATTCTCCATCATCTGGGAGGCAGCTACAGCAGCAAGCGTCTTCAGAGCACCACGAGACGCTGCACGCTGATGTATTACCCGCGGGGCTGGGATGACAGGCGGTAAACAAACAGAAGAGGCACGCGCTTCGGCACCAAAAAGATAACCACCCCCCTGCTGCACCCCCCCAGCACCGCCGGGCCCTGAATGATCAGCCCCGTGAAAATAAGGAAAGATCAAACCAGTCAGGGCTGCAGCCCTGCCCCGAATCCTGACATTTCCTAACTTTCAAGTGCTGGTTTTTGCAGTGGGAATAAACCCATATTTTATGTAAACCCACACTTCACAGGTAAAAGAAGACACTTTCCCTTCAGCCTATCCAGCTTGCGTTTGAGCTGGTATATGGAAAGAAATGCTGCTTCTTGCTGTTGGAGCCACACAAAGCATTTTTGTCAGCCAGCAAAGCCCCGGCAGGACCCAGGTATGCATCACGAAGTGTTTTGGTGCTGGAGAGCCTGCAGCAGGGACAGAAGCAGCCCAGGGTGCTGGCTCCAGCTCCTCGCGTCGTGCTGCCAGGAGCATCCCAGTATGGTCATCCGAATTCCTGCTCCAGCCACCCGGCACTGGGACAGATGTCAAGCACTGTGAGCAGCTCCTAACCAAAGATGGCAAGCGAGGGAAGCTGCGTGGGCCTTCTTTTAAATCTGCAACAGGCTCCGAAGACCTGCCCAGAAATACCCTGCCGTGGGCTCGAGCCTTTCCCCTGCTGTCCCATGCTCACACCCAGCCTCTGCCTCTCTCTGGGTGCACCCACCCAGCTTGCCTTCGTGCCCCTGTGCTGCTGCCGGATCTCCCCTCCTTGCCGTGCTGGGGTGGCACTCCTGCCTCCAGCAGGTTGCTCTGCTTCTGGAGAGCTTCGAGAGCCCTGCATCAGGGTTAGGAAAGCCACAGGATGGGCAGGGAGCTGGATGGAGACACCCGAGCTGTGAGTACACCTTGCTAGCATGTGGCACTCGCTTGGCTGGAGGCAAGGGTGAAGCTCTGATCCGGTGTAAGACTTACATAAGAGGGCTTCCCCCCTCCCTCCCTGCAAACCGCCCCTCTGCCGAGGTTTGCCATCATCCCTCCGAGAGGACAAGCCGCACCAAGAGAGGCAGCACTGCTGTCTGCCGGGGAGACAACTCCCTCCAGCCTTGTGCTCATGTGGAATAAATTCCCTTGCAAATGTTGTTTGCCCCGAGCGCTCAGCGGAAGAGCCTCCCCCCGAAACAGACCCAAGTGGCAAAGCTGAGAGGAGAAATGCTCCGTGACCACGGCAAGGCACCCCCTCCTCACCGCTGCTAGAAACGGCCCCTGCTTCGTGACCAGTCCCTCCGTGCTCCCTTCCTAGCGTGTCAAAACGAGGTCTCCGTGTCTCTCGCCATCCTTCGCTGGCGGATCAGGCACGGACACAGAGCGATGCAGCAGGGATGCGCTGGGCTTGGCACCTCGGCTCTACCTGATGCTGCACCTTGTGGCCCCAGGGCCTGGCTCCTCAGCCACGAGCAGTGAGCACCAGGCATCCCCTCTGCCCGGCCCAGGGCTGGTTTTACACGTCCCCCTCGATCAGGGGGACGAGATGCGGTGGCAGCAATGAGCTGGGCAGGGTGCCCCGTGCGGGGTGGATGTGTGCACGTGTCCGTGCACGCGTGGTGTGCAGGCACAGACACACACCCTAACGCTCGCGGAGATGCTCGCCGCCTCAGCCGAAATCTGTAGGAGGCTCCACGTCAGCTCCTTCGGGATGGATGCAGCTCTCCCGCTTTTCTCCCAGGCAGATCTGCCCTCTGTGGCAACACTGGGAAAGGCTGCGAAGTTTCCCTGTGCTGCATTTCCCCCCCCTTCCTCCCGAAAGTTCAGAAATCACACGCTCAGCCTGCGGGGATTCTGGAAGCAGCGTGGGGACTTATTTTTGGCTCCGCTTGTGATAGGGCAGCCTTCCCTTCGCGTCCTGTGCTGATGTCTGTGAGCCTGGGCTGTGAAATTGTGCCTGCATGCACACACATGCACACGCACACGGATGCACACCCCCTCACCCCAACGCCTCTTTTCTGACCGCTGGACCCGTCACCTGTGCAGTTTTCTCCCCATTCCCTTCTCCATTTCAGGTTGCTCTTACCGAGACGGCTGAGACCTAAATGACACTCAGCCGAGCCACCACAGCTCAGGTGCAGCACCCTCTGTGCTGGACCCACAGCACCGAGGGGGGGGACACAAAAAGCAGGGCTCACGGGGACCTGCCGGGTACCCGCTGACCGCAGCACATCGCGTGTGCTGCACCCGAGCTGCCAGAGCCCCGGCGAGGGATGCCGGTGCCATTCATAACAGGGGGAAGTTGCCTCCAGCTGCCCACCCTGGAACTGGACTGGGACCAGTACTGGCAGCCTCAGGAGGACCACTGCCCTTCGGCCTTCGCACTCAGGACCTTGCAATCCTCCCCGGGGAGGCTGCTGGCTCCCCGTGGGCAGCCCCCTGCTCTCACTGGGGTGGAAACCCGGCGGGGAGACGGCGCTACTTACCGTGCCCAGGCTGCGACAGAGCCTCCTGTGAGACGGGCAGCTCTTCCAGCGAACCCTGTACAATCCCAAAGCCAAATCCAGCAGCAAGTCCCCGGCGAGCTGAGCTCTCGGAGGGCTCTAGTTGGCACGAGCCCGCTGGCTCGCTGGCCAGCCGGCCGGCCCACGCAGGGGGCCCAGGAGCTGAGCGCTCGGGGGGCGGCGTGGGCCAGGGGCCGTAATCCCCTGTAAATAATAAATAGGGGGAGAGAGGAGGCGAGCGAGAGGCGGGAGCGGCTGAGCGCAGGGCAGCGGTGGCCGGGGGGACATCTGTGACAGCCGCGGTGTGCACCCAGGGTGCCCAGGCATCACCCCACCAGGCGGGCAGGGTCCGATCCCCACCGGGCAGGGGAAGGGGCCGGGGAGGTCTTCATCTCCCTCAGCCCATCCTGGGGAAGCAGCGGTCGCTTGCCTTCAGCCTCTCCATCTCCCTCCTCCCCCCCTTGCTCCCTTCCCTCTCCCGCTGACCGGAGGGGTCGAGGGGATCGAGGGGGGCGAGGAGGTGCTGGGGAGGGGGGAGCTGCCCCAGCCCCTCGCCGGGCAGGGGGGCAGATATTGCTCCCAGGCGCTGAGGCTGGAGAGGAGCCGCTGAGCCGAGCCGGACTGCCTCCTCCCCGCCTCCCTCCTGATGTGATGGCTGCTCACAATGAGCCCGGAGAGAAAGGCGGGCGAAGGGATGCGCCGCCGTGTCTGCCGCGTGTCCTACAGGGACGGGGAACCCTGCAGGGGAGGAAGCGTGGGGCGTTTGGAGCGGGACCCCCTTCCCATCCCTGCCTCATGGGCATGGCGCATCTCACAGGGACCTCACCCCAGCGGGCTGCAGGCACCCTGCCCTGGCTGCCGGAGCACCTCCGTGCTTGGATGGAGCACATCCCGGCCTGGGGATTCAGGGAGAACTTGAGGGATGCTGGCAGGAAGCAGGGAATAGTGATAGGGAGGGGAACAGGTGAGAGAGGGGAGCGTTTACACCTGTGCTGTGCTCCCCTGGGTGTGCTGCTCAGCCACAATGCCTCGTCGCAGTGGCAGGGGCATCCCCTGCCCACTGGTGAAGGGGTGCAGGAGGGACCCCAGTGCAAGCCACGGCCTCTGCGAGGCGTCCCCGCTCTCCTTCAGGATCCCGCAGCCTGCCCTGATGAACTCAAACCCCTCGCTTGCCTTTCTCCTGCTGGCTGAGGACCTCGGTAGCCAGCGTTTGCAAGAATTACTGCTTTGCCGAGCCACTTCAGCTGCCTCTCCTGCATGGCTCAGTAGCAGAGGCAGGCTGCCTCAGATTTCAGCTTTTTGCTATTTTTAATGTCTTGAAGTTGTTTTTTAAGGCACATCTTTACAGGGCTTCTGAAACTGAGAGGGGCAGCCCCACTGCCGGCTTGAGCAGGAAAAGGGGAATATTTCAGAAACGGGGAGCAGGGAATGCAAATGACAAGTGCTGGCGGGGCCGTGCTGCTGCTCTGGCACGTCCTTTCATTGGCGCCTGCAGCTCTTATTTAAACATCCACAAAACCAGGTTTATGAATGGCAAGGCACATCTTGATAAGCGGGCCGCAGGGTGTCATCTTGCACCTCTTTGTTACGCCTCTGTGCGATGCGGCAGGCCGGAGAATTCACTCCTGAGGAACGCTCCTTGTGAGGACAGCGTATGGATAATCAAAGAGACGAGGCAGGGAAGGCAGGCAGGACGAGAGACAAGCGGAGGACGAGCTAATGAGGCAGACGTGCTCGTCGGAGGCACGAGCAGGTGGAGGGGAGGCTGTTCTCTCTGGGCGACCCCAGAGGAAGGCGGCTGCGGCAGTGCTGCAGGTGGCACTGGCTGGGAAGCCGTGCACGGGTCTGGGTAGCTCGTCTGTGTGATGTAGTGAGAGATCTGTATGCAAGGCACGCAGCACCGCTTGGCTTCGTGTTTCCTTTCCTCGCTGAGGAGCCACGGTCTCACAGGTCGTTTGTACAGTAGTGGGATTAAAATGATCAGCTGTGGTCTCCTCTTTGTGGCCGCTGTTGCGCGGCGCACCGGGGCCACTCATAATTTCATGGAGCCGTGGTGCCAGAAGGAGCGTGGGGCAAGCCTTCTGCCACGGTTCCCTCTGACGGGTGCTGTCCAGGCAAACTCAACTGCACATCGGAACAGCCCCCGGCTGAAGAGAGCGGTGACACAAGGAGCATGGATGTTGCAAAGGATCGTGGTGAATTTATTTAAAGCTAGGTACCAAATCAGATGCCAGCCATGGGTACGTGACAGGAAGGACACCGACACCGGTACCCAAGGCAGGGCTGCTGCACCATGGCTGCAATCCCGGCCGGTGCCAGGAAACCTGCAGAAACCAGCGACGCTTCATCCGCCCAGCACTGCTGGCTGTGAAAACGGGCTCAAACCTCTCCTTGCTGTGCCTCCTCCTCTCCCTCACTGCCACTGCATTTGCTATTTCGAGGTCCTGCTCGAGGCTGTAATTCCTGCAAAGCTCTTTGATTCACCTAGCTGACACGCAGCCCTGTTGTTCCCCATCACCGCTCCGGGATGCGCACGACTGCCCTGGTTATGAGCTGTGCTTGCAGGCAGCCGACCCAGGCAATAGCTGTGTTATTCGGCCAGGGAGACCCTGCGCGGCTCCTGCTGGTGTGGAGCTGTGCCTTGCCTCGAGAGCACGATGCTGGGAATAGAAGAGAAATTAAGCCGAGAAATTAGGACACTCGTCATTAAGAAACACATGCACTTTTTCGTAGAGGAGCGTGCAGGAGGCTGGATGGGGGGCCTGAGCGGCTCCAGCCATCAAGGGGCATTGATATTTTTGTGCTTTTTGGGTGGCTTTAGAGCAGCCTAAACCACTGCGGTCTCCCCTTGAGACAGGCGGGTTTTCGAACCCCTTCCTCACTCTGCCCTACTTTTGTCTGGTTGACACCGGGTTGTGTGGATGAGCCTGGGATGAGCCAAAAAGTCAGTTCTGGCCGGACAAATCCACAAAGTACAAAGATGAAAGCTCTGCATGCTCTCTCTTTCGTTGTGTGTTTTTTGGGGTTTGTTTTTTTTTTTTTTTTTGATGATTTTTAGGAGGGGGAAGGGTGCGGGGGTGTTGCTGATGCTGTTAATGTGTTTGTAGCTCCGTCGTGTTCAGTGGGAGGGAGGTGTCAGCACCTGGGTACAGTCGGTGCCCGCTTCCCCCCCGCCTTGCCAAACCTCTGACTCTCACCTGGCAGCCTGACTCACTGCTGGCTCGGAAGCAGGTCGCAATCGCAGCTCCCTCCCATTACTTCGAGCAAATCTTTGCCCCTCCTTTCCTAACTCGTGTTTGTCTTTCCCTCTCTCTCTCGCCCCTTTCATTTCCCATAGCGGTGGGTGTGCAGATCAAGCTGGAGTTACTCCAACGCAAGTTTTGGGCGGCCATGCAACAGGTAGGAGCACCAGCGGGCACTGTGGGTGCTGTGTTACATCACGTGCGGTGCCATTTTGGTGAGGGCTGCAGTGAAACTCGTATTAAAAGATCTCCCAAGTAGATTAGTCGGAAGTCACACGTTTCCCTAATCCTTCGGTGGCACAAATGCTGCATGAGCTGGGAGCCTGCTCCACAAAAGCTGTGCCGACGGTGTCAGCATCCTGGCCTGGCATTAGCTCCGCTGCATACAAGGCATTTAATTGTGGAAATATGTTTGTGCTCGCCCAGCCTTCCAGAAACCTCATGGAAATCTGAAATTTTGGGCACACAGGGGGAAAAAAAAAAATCTACTGCCTTCTTTTATCATCTTGGTAATGGTAACGAAATGCTGCTAGCTTGCCAAAATAAAAATGATTTGCTCCGGGGATAAACTCTCAGTGCTGTGCTAATTTTGAATGCTTGCTGGACCACGAGACGTGGAATAATTACAGCAGCCCCCTGGTCCGAGAGGCAGGAAAGGTGAAGCACTGTCCTGTTACCACCCGGGGGCTTTCCCCAGAGGTTTTGCTTCTGGGTGTGGGTAGGAGTGGAGCAGCACAGGGCAGAAGCAGCTCTCGGTGATCAGGAGAGGGAAGTGCCAGCAGATGGGGGCTGTGCAGGCAGGGAGGCAGGAGGATGCTCCCAGGGGCAGAGCATCCAGCGTGGTGGCAGGAGGAGGCAGCCTGGCAGGAGGGAGGCAGAGGGACCTCACGTAAACACCGCCTGAGCTACAAGACTTCCTTTGTAGCTTAAATATAAAAATCCCCTGTGGGCCATGCCCAGGCAGCTCTCACACAAACACACGCGCAGGCTTGTTTCAGGTGTTAATTGAAACAGGGGATGCTTATTAGAGGAGCTGAAAGGAGGCTGGTGTGCCAAGTGCCTGCATGCCGTGGTCCTGAGAGGTGCTCATATGAAAAAATGCCTTGCCTGGCTTCCTAGGACGTGGCTGCAGCCTTACTGGGGGGTGACTAACAGATTTTCTTTCCTCTCTCCCACTGCCACACGTGCCATGCCGTGCTGCTCTGGACGTCCACGCTGCGCCCCTGTCCCCAGCCCAATGACACCGATGTAAGTAGGCACAAGCTGGGACAAGGGCATCGCTTTGTGGTTGTGGGGTTGTGTGCCAGCATGGGGCAGGCACTGTCCCTTGATTACATTCACTGGAGGCAGCCCAAGCCTGTTGCAGGCTGTACGTGTGAACCCCCAGGGAGTGAATGCTGCCTTGTTGTGGCCGTGCTCGACAAAGGAAGGACCCCACTGGGGATGAAGTCCAGAGCCACTGCTATGCGAGGCTGTGCTTGCATCTGTGGGCAGAGGGATGTATTTTAACATCCTCCCTCGAGCCTCAAAGAGCAAGCTGGAGTGCAAGCAGTACTGCAGACAGGCTTGACCATCACTGACCCTCCTTTGGAATCGAGCAGGGGGATGGAAACCTGAAAACACCGAGTTTGGTCTGCAAAACTCAACATGAGAAACAAAGCCTGGCTCAGAGTGACGGCTCTGTTGTGGTTTGAAATGGCAAATTCACCTCTTCGCATTCAGAATCCTCCAGAAGGGGGGCTGGGACTCCTGCGTGAGGGTTTTGCAGGAAGAAAGGAGAGTGGGGGAGAGCAGGCAGGCTGCGCCACGCGTCAGCATCCTTCCCTGACCCTGGGAAACCTCTGGCAGGAAGGGGACCCCATGTACAGAAACGGCAACACCATGTGTCAGCTTCCTTTCCTCAGCTGCCAGGGAAAATAGCACTGGGAAATAACACAAAGAGACAGACGCGGGCAGCCACCGCAAACCCAGAACAATTACGAAATCAATGAGCACCTGAAGGGCTGTGTTACTCAGCACTTAACCCCTCCTGTCCCCACCCGGTTCAGTGTTGTGAAACAGATGTCAAATCCGGTACCCAAATCCTAAATGAAACAAATGGACGGTGCCTGGGGCTGCACAAGCACCATTCACATCCTATTTTATCATTAGCTGTCCGGAGAATAAAGAAACCAGCAGCAACAACAGCAAAAAATCCCCGCCTGAGAGTAATCCTGATCTAAACGACCATGCCGGGTACTCAGAGCAGATACTGGCAGCTGCTGAAATGCACGCTGTTTTCTTGCCAGAGCACAGTAACTTCTGCTAGCAGAGCCGGAGAGCTGGCTGCTGCCCCCATCCTTCCTTCCCAAGCACAGACACCGTGCACGGGCACTGCCTGGCCGACCTGGGGCTGCTTCTTGGCTTGCTCAAAATGCCAGCGAATTTGCAGGGCTTTTTACGGGGCGCTTTGGCTGAGCAGCCCCAAAGGGGAGTGTGTAAGATGGGAGCACGCTGTGATTCAATTCTGCTTTTTCTTTCCAGTGCAGTGCCTTGGATGGTGCCTGCCCACTGAGCTGTCAGGATGAGGTAAGGTTCCCAGATGTCTCCTCCATA